CTCACCAGCTGGGCTAGTGGCTCTGGGGGCCCATGGCCAAGCTGCAGCAGCAGGCACCGTGCAGGGAGCCCCTCCAGCTCTGTCCTGCCAGACAGTGACCCGCAGGGCAGCCGCCCGGCGTCCTGCCCCACCTCTCTAGGGCGCTTGGCGCACGTGTCACTGCTGCTCCCTCCACCCCCAAGGCCCCCCCGGTCGCTGTCCCCCTGCCAGTCACTGCGCCCGCGTTCCGCTGCTGGGCCGCGCCACGGGGGGGTCGGGACTGAACGGGCCGCAGAGGAGGCAGCTCTGCAGACTGTCCGGGCCCCGGAGCGAGTTGCTGTGTCTGCCCCAGAGGCTCAGCTGGAGGGTGCGTAATTTTCAGGCCAGGCATCTCTGCTCCTCGCCGCCCCGGGGGGAGGGGAGCGCCCCAGGCTGGGTTCCAGCCCCACATCTGCTGGTGGGTTCTAATCCCAGCGTCCCACCCCCACGTCCCCGGCCCTAGAGCGGAGCAGCAGGGCCCAGCTCCGCCCCACAGGCCCTGACTCACCGAGGCGGCCCTTACCCATCCCTGCCCACGGCACGTCTGTCCCCGGATCGGTAGAGAGGCGTCTAGCAGAGGCAGAATGGGGTTGGCACTTATAGCACCTGCTGTACCGGGGGGGCAGGCGCTGTTCCTCCCCAGCCCCCGCCCTGCAGCGCTCTGGGGATACTGCCCTGGGGTGGAGCTGTCAGGTGTCTGGAGGGAAGCTGGGCTAAGCAGCCTTATCGGCCCCTGCAGAGCACCTGGGAGCCTGCCTGGCCGGGTGGGCCTGGTACAGCCTCCCCCCAGATAAGGCTCTTCCCTGGAACCATTCCCTATGGGGGAACCGGCAGGGCAGGGCAGGGCGGACACGGCTCGCCTGGGTGCTGCTGGGAGTCAGAGATGCCAGTGGAGCCAACTGTGGGCTGCACGTTACAGTACAGAGGGGGGCCCCCCCCCCCCCCCCCCCCCCCCCCCCCATGCTTTATGGGCATTGACTTCTAGATAGGAAAATGCATCTCTCCCTCCACCCTTCAATCCCTGCTTGAGTGGGTCTGGGCCTGCTTGAGTGGGTCTGGGCCTGCTTGAGTGGGTCTGGGTTCTCTCCCCCCCTCCCCGCCCCCCAAACTTGGTCTCCAAATGATCAAATGTTCATTGCACATCACGCCAGGCAAACGTGATTGACATGCAAGGAAATCCAGGCCTCCCCTTGTCGCACATTTGAGTGGCGTGTGACATGCTGGCAGGCTGGACGGTCACAAGGCGTGCGGACAGGGCGGAGCTGTTCCCGCTAGTGGACTAGCTCCTGCTCTCTCGGTCCCCGCCAGGACCCTGCCTGCCTGGGAACACCTCCAACAACTCAGCCATAACTCACAAGCACTCTCCTGGGTTTGCACTCGCTCTTATGCACCTTGGCTGTGTCTACACTGGCATGATTTTCCGGAAATACTTTTAACAGAAAAGTTTTCCGTTAAAAGCAATTTCGGAACAGAGCATCTGGATTGGCAGGACGCTTTCCCACAAAAACACTTTTTGCGGAAAAGCGTCCTTGCCAATCTAGACGCGCTTTTCCGCAAAAAAAGCCCCGATCCACATTTTCGCGATCGGGGCTTTTTTGCAGAAAACAAATCTGAGCTGTCTACACTGGCCCCTTTGCGCAAAAGTTTTGCGCAAAAGGACTTTTGCCCGAACGGGAGCAGCATAGTATTTCCGCAGGAACACTGACAATCTTACATGAGATCGTCAGTGCTTTTGCGGAAATTCAAGTGACCAGTGCAGACAGCTGGCAAGTTTTTCCGGAAAAGCGGCTGATTTTCCGGAAAAACTGGCCAGTCTAGACACAGCCCTTATGTAAAAGCCAGCGGGACACACACCCGGGGCAGCAGGCAAAGGTGCTGAATCAGCAGAAGGCGATGACATGGAGCAGAGACTTTGGCAGTTGCTAAACGAATCTAGTTTAATCCTCTTGTCATGGGGTGGGACTCAGCACCACAGCACCTCCTGCCGGCAGATCTGGGGAATTCATCCTTTCATCCGCAGGGCCCCGCCTTCTGGCTGCCGTTTCCCCTCCTCGCTCCAGTTCCAGACCCGCATCTCTCCCAGACCACTATGTCCCCTTCAGGACACTGCAGTGGAGGCAAACCCATCAGCAGTGCCCACCCCAATCGTCTCTCGCTCCTTCCCAGGGGGCATCAGCAGGCTGCCACCGTGGCCAACTGCAGCCTCAGTCTAGCCCCTGACCTCAGGGGCAAGCCACGATCCTTCCAGGCCACGCAGCAATGGTGGCTAGACACAGTACAAGGGGGAAAAGGGGTGGGGGCAGGCCCACCCACTACTATGGCCCTGACACAGGGTCTCTCGGGCAGCAGCCTTGTCCTGCCCCTCTACTTCCCTCCACTGCCTTCTGTTCCCTGGGCCACTTCCCCTGTGACCCGTGGCACCCTCCTGGCTCTAGTGGCAAGGCTGCAGCGTGGCAGGGACCAGGCTCGTGTGAGGGTTTGTTGAAAGGGGCCAGCGAAACATTGAACCTTCCCGGTGCTTAAAGACTCAGCCAAAAGTCCCGATTTCTTCTCAGAGTTCCCTGCGGCTGAAACTACTGTTCTGCTGGTTTCGGAGGCAGTGCAGAGAATCCTAGAACCATAGAGCTGGAAGAGACCTCAGGAGGTCATCAAGTCCAGCCCCCTGCTCTAGGCAGGACCAATCCCAACTAAATAAACCCGGCCAGGGCTTTGTCAAGCCGAGACTTAAACACCTCTAGGGATGGAGACTCCACCACTTCCCTAGGGAACCCATTCCAGTGCTTCA